TTAATCAATATAATATAAAATTTATAATTTTAATTTATAATTGCTCAAAATATTTAATTAATTTTTTAATTAATTCTATAATTTTATTATAAAATAATTTTAAAATTTAAAATTAATAATAATAAATTTTTAAAATTGCTTGACAGACAAATTTGTTTGTTAAAATTCCATAAATTTATATTTAATATATTTTTATCAAAAATTAAAAAAAGTTTGTTTAATCTTAGCTTTAATTATATATTATATAATAGTTATTTTTACTTTTTAATAATTATAAAAATTATAGTTGTCTATAAGTTAAAAATAAATTTGATAATTTAAAAGATATTAAATAAATAATTAGATAAGTTATATTATTAATTATTTTAAACAATTATACATAAATTATTTATTTATATTTTATATATTATTATTATTATTAAAAATAAAAAATTTTTATATAATATATTTTCAATATAAAAAAATATTTTTATAACAAATATAGTTAAATAAAAGAAAAATATAAATATAATTAATTATTTTTTGTTTTTATTTAAAATAAATAATAATTATTATAAAGTTTATATTTTTAAAGTTAGTAATTATATATATAGTTAAATTTCTAAGTACAATTTGTCAAAATCATATAAACTTGCACTTAGAAAGAAATATTAGATTTATAAAGACAAAAATATATATATTTTATAAATCGAAATCAAATTAGAATATGTATTTAAAGAATAATTATATTTAAAAGAGTTATACTTAGAAAAATCTGATTATATATTTTATTAATCTATAATATTTATCTAAATTTATATTCAAAAAAATTTATTTATAATAAAAAATAAATAAAATTTTATATAAATATATAATAAGATTTTATTAATAATTAATTTAAAATTTTAATTATAATTTATATTTTATTATAATAAAATTTTGCAAATAATATTTTATTAATAATAATAATAAAATTAATATATAAAAATTAAATACAAAAGCTACTAACAATAATAAAAACAAGAATAAAAGTTCTTGTTCTAATAATAATATTTTATTAGATATATAATATTAAATATATATAATATATTATATATATAATAAAAATAAAATAATTAATAATAAAATAATCAAATTATAAATTATTTAAAATCTCACTTTGTTTAAAAAATTTTTTGAATAAATAAATTTATTTAAAAATTTATAAATTTAAATTAAATAAATATAACTTTATTTTAATATATTTTAAGATATTATTAATAATCTAGTTTTTTCAAAATTAATTGAATGCTTATATTAATTCTATCTTAATCAAAATTAATTCTACTATATGTACATAGTTATATTAAATTTGTAACTAATAAAATATATAATAATTAAAAAGCAATTTGTTTTGTATCAAATATAAACTATTTTATTTATATAAATATAATCAGATCTTTCTAAGTATAACTTGTCAGAATTATATAGAAACTTACACTTAGAGAGATATTATATTTATAGAGATAAAATACATATATATTTTATAAGTTGGAACCAAATTAAAACATGTATTTAGAGAATAATTACACTTAAAAGGATTGTATTAGAGAAATCTGACTATTATTTTTGTTGATTTGAATTTTGATCAAGATTAAATATATAATAATAATATTATAAAAAATATTATATTATACATTTTACAACAAAAGCAAATCAAATATTATAAACTGGTTAAAATAGTTACAAATATTTAATATAGATAATAAAATTCTTTTACATATAACTTGTCTTGAAAAACAATATAATACAAAATTATTGAAGTTTGTTTTATATAGTAATCATTTTTGGAAAAGATATTTATAATCAATTCCAGAAATTTTTTTATAAATATTTTGATATTTCAGTTTGCAATAAAAGTTCTGTTGTTGATTCAGATTGACATGTATAGCAGGATTTTAGTTTTCATTTTCATTAGTAAATTCTTTTAAGATAAATTTTTTGCGACATTTTTTGCATTTTTGTGTGGTTTTCATAATTCATTTAGTTTCAAAACAAGGTAAATGATGTATTGTTTATTAATACTGTCATATTATATTTATTTCTCGTATCCTGAAATTTCAGGGCTGGACATCGTAACATTATAAAATTTACTCTCGTTTCCTCTAGTTTCTTAATGTTAAATTAACTTTTTTGAAAAATAAAACTTTAACTCTTCTCTTTTTTGTCTTTTTCTTACTCATTATTCACATCTGTCTAACGCCAATAATATTATTTACTTTTAATAATGCTTATTATAATTTAAATAGTTTTTATCACGCCACTACATTTTACATCACATGATTAGACAATACACGTGACTTTGCGCAACTTAAATTCTAAACAATTACAAATACTTAATATTTGTAGAATTGCATTAAGTCGTGTTGCTATATTCATCAGGTTGGGATCAGTGAGGTATGTCTTTGCAACTATTGAATTAATTCGATTAACATACTCTACCCCTTCAAAATACCATCTATGGAAATAGTGACAAATAACTAGTGATTATACAAATAATGATTACTTTGTAACTTACTTTATAAACGATTGTGACAGTATTAAATTAAATTCTAATATTACCTCACTCACACGCGTATCTATTATAAAAACAATAAATATCTAGCTCAAAAAATAATCATCATCTCAAAAACTTAACACTATTATTTTGGTTTCTTGAAACACAAGAATTGTAAACTAGTACTCTTTCGACTTTCCACCAACAATTTCTTGACACTATTTAATTCCGATTGTAGATTTCCGGAACCTTGCGATGGATCATATGACTGTTCGATGGTGACGTATATTGCTTGAAGTGTTTCTTGTGCTTTCGGAGTCACATATTGTGAGAGAGTTTGATGCATGAACTCTATTTCGAGTGTTGCCTGTAACATGCCACCCATTCCAAACTTTTCTACCTTTTTAAAAGCATTAAGACAATCTTTTGCCATGCCTTCAAGCAAACATGAGAGTGTACGATTGACGAGATGTTTTGCAATATCACCTACTTCTGCGTGTACCAAAACAAGTGATAACAAAGCTTCATAGACAAAAGAATGCACCTCTATTCAATGACGAGAATAACATTAATCACATTTATGATAACGGATTGTTAAGATAAATTTCAAGCAAATAATTACCGGTTGGTTTGGAAATATTATACCAATCTATATTTCCATATAATATTCCTTTCTCCACAATATCCAGAACAGTCGCGGCTTTCCGTTTAATATAATCGTCAAATAGAATTTTATCTAATTGATCGACCAAATCATTAAGTTGCTATAAGATTTGAAGAGTTTATGTTAATGAGCAAATTAAAGAAACTAAATGATATTCGTTTGAAACTAACCTTTATATCTTCAGACATACTACATTGATACGCGTTCTCGAATTGAGATACGATTCTTGGGATACTGAGTGCTTTCAAATTAGCAAGATTACTAATAGTTAATAAAATCCTTGAATCCTTTTAAAAGGAAGTCGAAAAAAATAAATGTCAATCAGGATTCGTTAATTTAAATTGTTGATAGAAGGTGTGGCTCAACCAACCATTCGATTCGGATCAATTTTCGCTCTACTTATAAACTCGAACTTTTCAGTGTCAACCGGTTCCAACGGTGAATACTCGGAGAAAGCAAGATGCACCAACCCTTCCAAATAGATGTATAGCGAATCAAGAAACGCACCCTTGATCTTGTGCAAGTACTCGTCGGATATACTTGATGTGTTCTAAATAAGTACGAATATAATAAATCGCTGAATACATCAAGAATTTTATATATAATTAGTAAACTAACCTTATTGTCGTCGTCGGAAACAAAGCCGAGACTAGCAATTTTAAACGCACATCTCGAGTTATATTTATGAAAAGTGTGGAAATTTCTTAGGAATGTAGTGATTTCACGGTTATCCGAATCCAAATTCCAATCTTCGAGCATATAAAATTTCTTGGCGTCTAAGATTCAATATCAGAAATTATAACTATTATGTATTTTTTTAGTAAGATCAAATATACATTATAAAGCAAATTCAATATTAACCTTCCTTCCAAACGTTACAAATTATCTCCACAAATCCCCATCTTGATTTATCCATTAAGGTAGATAATGCCCTGGACGCCTCAGATGACATATTAATAGAATTAATATCATTAACGCAATCACTCATCTCCATCACAATCCTCGTCAAAAAATAACAAGTTGTCACTGAATCTGAGTGTGGTGGAATAAATGAGGGGCTATCGTTATTAGGCGCGGGTACACCAGGAGTATTGGATGATGTGTCCTCATGTGGAGATGTCAAAGTAAAGAACTCGAAGAGCAAAGACGCATAAAGATCTATTACTCCTTTTGCCATATTTTGACATTGTTCTACTTTACGGAGATCCATCGCTTGACGGCGTCTTCTATTCGTACTTAAAATTGTTGGACTCTGAAATTTTATCAAGGGGAATTGTAGATTTATTGACCAAATAAGGATTTAGGGTGTGATTTACTATCATAATACCTTTTGAAATTTTCCTTCAATAAAAGATTTACTTAGTTTCCAGAAATCTGGCAAACATCTGAGAAGTAAATCCGACAAAGACTTTACAATGTTTAAAATTGCTTTCCATATTTGTACATCCATGTCTTTGCTAGCTAAAGAAAGGGAGATAATTAAAAATATATGTTAAATTTTATAATTAATAGATCAAATGATTTACCTGATAAAGCATCAAAATCACGCGAATTGACAATTTTAATTGCACGTTTAAGATGTAGTGCGACCTCATTCGCGTTAATTGTCCTGTTTAATGATTGTTTGAGAGCTATATATGAAGAATATATTTAAGAAACCAATGTCAAATTTATTACTAAAGAATACGCGAATTAAATAAAAATAATCAAAACAAACCTTCAATTTTATCGATTTGCTCTTTATATGACTCTTTTAAGAGATCAATAATATATTTATATTGACTATCTAAATAATGCCATACAGGATCTTCGACCGTTTCCAATTCTAACAAAATGCTGAAAAAAATTCAAATCAACTTCTATAACATAGGCACAATCTATAGCATAAATATACAACATAAAATCTGTTGTAAATTCCAAGAACTCACTTTATCGTCTTCTCTTGTTCCTCCATAGACCGCCAAGGCTCAGTCAGTTGCTTAAATAATTGTTCCCGCATCTCTTCCATAATTTTTTCCACCTCTGCCCAAATTTTATCAAAAACTTTGCGATACTGCGCAGCAAGTGCACTGTCATCATTTTCTTTCTCTGGAGAGCCATTTGATGGTGTTTGGATGTTATTATCTAATGATGTGTCTGAGGATGCAAGAATTGATTCTAATGCTTTTTTTCCTTTTTTGTAGTCTCTGATTACTATATCATATTTTTGCTATATGTGATTGTAATTAATATGAGTAATAAAGCAAAAACTGAAATCAACATTTATATAAAAATAAATACTTGTTTGAGAGATTCCATCAAACTACTCGGTAAACTGAAAAAGAACTTAAATTTTTCTAATACAGTTAACGTGCTCCGTATTTTTTCCGCTTTCATTCTATTTTCTAACACCGGACCAAAAACTTGATCAGCCTTAGCAGCAGCCTCTACCCAAAAAAAAAAATACGTCATCGTATTAAAAATTAATCTCTATAGTATGTTTCTAATTAAATATTCGAAAAAAAATCAAAACACACCCGTTAAAGCGGTATCTAACCCTCTAACACCATACTCATTTTCCTCATTCAAACTTTTCGATTTCATTTCATTGTACACTGTATCAATTGTATTTTTTGCACTAACAAATCGGTCAAAATTATCTTGAACTAAATTTTTCAGTGCCTCCGATTTTTGATCAAGTGTATTTCGTAGTTGGTTAGCTCCGGTTAATAATTCGTTAAACGACGTGTCTTGATGAACTTTACGGAGAAATAGCTTGGGATTAAATGATTTTGTACCAACGAGAAATTGGGTTCCTTTTTAAAAAAAGGACGATTGAAGAATAATGATAAGGAATGATAAATATACGTGCGATTCAAAATCGAGTAAATGCAAAAAGTCGATTTTATTGACACATGATTGTAGAAAAATAATTCTCACTTTCTTTAAGGCTTTCATATGGATCTAAACTATTGTTGTTTTTTGCATAATCACTGCCGATTCGTTCCCGTTGATTAATCAAAGAATATTATATATGTATCTAATCCAATTAATTAAACAAAAAAAAATGAATTACTAACGTAAATACACTACGCTTAATTCCAAGCGGATCATTATCATCTAAACTCCAACGTTCGTCTGCACGCCCATTTTCCATTCCACCATTCCCTTGAAAGAATGCATTATCACCAACCGAGTATCTTGCAGATTTTCGAACATCTGGTTCATCAACCCATTCAACTGGGTCAAGAACGTCAAGCTGATATTGTTTTAAGACTTGTAGAGTTGAGAACAGGAGTAGCATCGAAGTCAGACAAATGAAGAGAAAAAAGTTTAGTAAAACTTACTGGTTGCTTCTTCGGATAGCTGTTCGTAAGCTGTTGCTTGTCGATACATGAGTTCACTATTGAAAATACAAACTCGAAAGCGAGTGAAGGGTAAAAATTGTGCTAGGTTTTGTCGATCTATATCACGTGAGTACATCAGAGAAGCACTATATTAATTATGTGATATTATAAAGTTTTTGCTTGCACTTTCAATCATAAAAATATATTGTTATCTCAAGTTCTTTTTTGAATATTGTTAATTTTTTTTATAATATAAATTTTTCAATTTTTTTTATAACAAATATTAAAAAAAGTATTAAAATTATAATTATATTAAAAAATTAATATTGTTATTATTTTACATAATTTTATAATTAAGTTTCTTTATAGTTATTACTAAAAATAAAGTTGTAATCATGTAATACTTATTTATTATCTATTATAACTTATAAATTTTAATAATAATTAATTATAATATTAATAACAAATAAATATTATATATAGTGACAATCAGAAATAATGCAATAACATTAAAATTTATTAATTAAATATAGTAAAATGTGAATTTTTCTCTTTATATAAAAGTTTTCAATTTTACTAATAAATATTTTTTATTTTTACATTAAAATAAAAATAATATACATATTTTAACATATATTTTTTTCAGAATTTTCAAATTTAATCTGATAAAGCTGTTCTAAAGTCAATTAATTTATTATATGTTTTAATTATAAAAAAATAATTGATTTTATATGCAATTAGAATAGCTTTATCAGATTAAATATATATTAAAATATGTGATATTATCTTTATTTTAATATAAAAATAAAAAATATTTATTAGTAAAATTGAAAACTTTTATATAAAGAGAAAAACTCACATTTTTTATATTTTTACTATATTTTATTAATAAATTTGTTTTAGCGTTCCATTCTTTTTTATTATTACTATATTTGAATAAATATATCCTTTTTTTCTCTTTCTTTTTTGAGTTTTAATAAAAATTAGTATTAATAATATTTAATTTAATATTAATATATAACTAAAAATTTGATTAATAATATAATAATTATATAACTAAATAATTTGTATTATAATAAATAAAAAATAATTATATATTATATATATATATTATTTTTCTAATTATATTATATATTTATTATAAATTTTATTTTCTTTTTCTCTAAATAAAATATTTAAAGTATGTGACTAACAAAATTATAAAATTATATAAGTAATTTTATTAATAAAACATAATAAATATTGAAATTATTATTTTATATAAAAGTTTTAATTGATTAATAAATATTTTCTATTATTAAAATAAAAATTATAAATTATATTTATAATAAATTCTCAATTAGAATAACTTTGTTAAATAAAACTAAATAAAAAATATATATTAAAATATAATTTATAATTTTTATTTTAATATAAAAATAAAAAATATTTATTAATAAAATTAAATATTTTTATAAAACAAAAATTTTGATTTTTACTATATTTTATTAATAAATTTGCATGTATAATTTCATGATTTTGTTAGTTAATATATAATATATAATATATAATATTATAATATTTTTTTTCTAAGAATATTATATAATTTTTATTATAATTTTTATTATATATATTAGTTTTATAATTATATCTTATATTATTATTATTAATAAATTTAAAATTAATTTTTAAAAATATAAGTAACTAAATATATTCAATATCAACAAATTATTAAAATTTTAAAAAAAGATTAATAAATTATAATTATTTATTTTAATATTTATATATATTACAATAATTAAAAATTTTTAATAATAATTTTTGAATTATTTATATATAATAACAATTAGAAATAATATAATAATATTAAAATTTATTAATTAGATATAGTAAAATATGAATTTTTCTTTTTATATAAACTTTCAAATTTTTAGATTTAATTTAATAAAGTTATTCTAATTATATATAAAATTAATTATTTTTTATAATTAAAATATATAAAAAATAATTGATTTAATAAATATTAAAATATATAATATTATTTTTATTTTAATATAAAAATAAAGATAATATTATATATTTTGATGTATATTTTTTTCAAATTTTTTAGATTTAATTTTATCAAGTTATTTTAATTATATAAAATTAATTATTTTTTATATGTTTAATTATATAATTAAAATAACTTGATTAAATTAAATCTAAAAAATTTGAAAAAAATATATATTAATATTTATTAGTAAAATTGAAAACTTTTATATAAAAAAATCTGTATTTTATTATATTTAATTAATAAATTTGATACTATTATAATATTTTTAATAGCTACTATATAATAATTAACAATTTTATTAATAAAATATAGTAAAAATTAAAATATTTGTTTTATAAATTATATTTTAACATATATTTTTCTGGATTTTTTAGATTTTTTTCTGATAAAATTGGTTTAATTGCAAAAATTTTTATAATTGATTTTATATTTTAATTATAAAAAATTTTTGCAATAACTTTGCAATTAAAATATTTTTGTCAAAAAATCTAAAAAATCCAGAAAAAATATATATTAAAATATAACTTATAATTTTTGTTTTAATATATAATCAAATTTTTTTACAATTATATCTATTTATAGTTATATTTTTTTATAGTTATTCTATTTTACTTTTCTATTTATATTTTTTTACTTGAAAAAAATATTTTTTATATAAAATTAAGAACTATATTAATTATATATTTAATATTACTACAAGTACTAAATTAATATTAAATTTATTATAATTACAAAATATTAATTAATATAAGTATTAAATTAGTATTAAATTTATTAAAAAATTAATATTATATATTAAATAAATATTAAATTATATAAAAATAAATTTAAATAATAAATATTAAACTAAATTTTAAAAAAAAATATTAAATAATATAATTATCAAATTTAAAAAAATATTAAAAAATTAAAAATAAATTTAAAAAGATTTTAGTTTTTATATATAATAATTTTTTTTATACTTAATTAATAATACTTTATAAATAATATATAGTAATTAACAGAATTATAAAATTACATGCAATTTTATTAATAAAAATTAAAATTTGTATATTATATAAAGTTTTTAATTTCTTAATTTTTATCATCAAATTTCTTTTTAGTTATCATTTTTAAAATAGCAAAATTTGATAATTATAAAAAAATGTAACTATAAAATATATTTTTACTGTGCTTATATATTGTTATAATATGAATATTTAGTTCTTATTTTATTGGTTAATTCATATCATAAATTTAATTGGATAATATTCTA